TTTGGGCACGTCTATGTGTGTATCTGTGACTTGCATGTGCATATCTATCTATCTCTGTGAGGCTCTGGGCATCATGCACATCCATGTGTGTGTGTGACTCTGGGTACGACCGTGTATAAGTGTGTAACATCTGGGTATATGTTTTGCATAACTTCCCCTGGCATCACAACTAGGCATCTGTCTTTATCAGCAGACCTGTGAACAGTCCTGTCTGGAATCTGTGCACACCTCTGTCTTGTGTGTGTTGGCCAGGCCCTGCTTGGCTGTGGCTGTGTTGTGTGATGTGGAGTTCTTGCCTATTGTTGGCACAGCTGGAGGCCACCTCTCTTGTTGTGTCTGCTGCCTGCATGGCTATCCCTCCCTCTTGACAGCTCAGAAGTGCTCACTCCCTTGAGGCCACCAGGGACAGCTGTGGGGTTGGGGGAGGGTGGGAGGTGCTGCTCCTGGGGAGGCCGGGGGCTGGGCCAGCTGGACCCACAGAGGTTCCCGGCAGCATCAACCCTGCCCACAGGGGCTCCCAGGGCATAGCTAGTATCAAGGCGGGCTGTAGAGGCAGAGGACCCAGGGGACAGGCCAAGCGGGGCCAGGAAGGGTGAGGGGCAGTCCTTGGGCCCTCTATATTTAGCCTTATTTTCGGTAAGTGCTTAACGAGAAGCTCGCCTAAGTCTGCTAAAACTGGCTGGGGGAAATGCAGAGGAGAAGTGAAAGTCCGGGGAGGGAGGGTCGGGGAGGGTGGAAGGGACCCAGAGTCCCAGGCCTAGGGCAGTGGATGAACTCAGGGCAGGGCAGCCCTGGGTGGATCTGGCCTAAGAGTGGTGGGATTCAAGGTGTGGCTCCAAGGGGCCTAGTCATGCATTGCTATTGGTGTCCATTTCCTCCAAAAAATTACCCGCTCCTTGGAAAGTCAGAGAGGGTCATAATCCTAAGTAACCAACCAACTTTTATATTCAAGTGAAACTTAGAGAGGGACTTCTGGAGATGCCAGGGCACTGGAGCACATCAGAATCATTGGGAGCACATGGTGTGTGTGTGTGTGTGTGTGTGTGTGTGTGTGTGTGTTTAAATCAGATGGCATGTCACTCCTTGTTCCATTAAAACCAGTTGGCTGGGCACAATGGCACATGCTTGTAATCCTAGGGGAACAGGAGACTGAGGCAGGAGGATCACAAGTTCAAAGCCAGCTTCAGCAACAGCGAGGTGCTAAGCTAAGCAACTCAGTGAGACCCTGTCTCTAAATAAAACGTAAAAAGGGGGCTGGGGATATAGTTAAGTGGTTAAGCTCCCCCTGGGCTCAATCCCCCAAACCAAAAAAAAAAAAAAAACTCAAACAAAAAAAGCAGCACCAGAATTCAGAATTTTCATAAAGTCAAGGGCAGGGCATGAAGCATTCCTGCCTGGGCAGAGGTTGAAGCAAAGTCTTCCATGGCCTCTCCAGGTCCCTGGTCCCTGATGGACGATGCCCTGGAGTCCTTGTCCACGCATCATTTAGCTTTTGGTGCATGGTAAAAATGGAGCCCCTATTCAGCCTTGATAGGAATGACTTTACCCTTCCCTTGAATTGCACTCTGATAAGGGAGAAAGGATGATAGAGAGATAGCTTGGCATCTATAATCCCAAGCGGCTCGAGAGGCTGAGGCAAGATGCTGGGGCAAGGAAAGCCAGGGCAAAAGCAGCAGGGCAAGATCCCCGGCTTCCTAGAGGGCAGTCCTGAAGGATAAGTAGGAGGTGGACAGATTGGGGGACAGCATTCCAGGCAGAGGGACCAGCACATACCAAGGACTTAGGGAATATTTGTTAAATGGCAGGGAAACAGCAAGGCAGGATAGGAACAAGTAGGAGGCAGCAGAAGTTGCGGAGAGAGGCGTTCTGCAAACATATAACTGGTTCTGGGCTGGTGAGGCTGGGGACCTAGCAATGAGTCAGATAGGCCTGTCCCCGGGTCTGATGAAGAAGACACCACAGCCCTGGGGGATTGAGGAAGGGGGTGTGAGAGGGTGAATTAATTTGCTAGGGCTGTCATAACGAAGTGCCGTAGACTAGATGACTAAAACAACAGAAATTTATTTTCTTGAAATTCTGGAAATTAGAAGCTGGAGATCAAGGTGTTGGTAAGGTTGGTTTCTTTGAGGCCTACTTCCTTGGCTTGTAGATGACAGTCTTCTCTGTGTCATCTCTCTGTGAGTCTGTGTCCCAATTTTCTCTTTTTATAAGGACACCAGTCAGATTGGATTGGGGCCCACCCTAATAGCCTCATTCTTACCTTACTTACGTCTGTAAAGACTTGATCTCCAAATGCAGTTACATTTGGAGGTACTGGGATTTAGAATTCATCATTTGGGAGGACAGATTCACTCCACAGCAAAGGAGTTTCTGTGGTGGTGGGCTGGAGGCTGCTCCATCTGTGGACAGGAGAGCTGGCATTTGCCAGCCAGGCAGGGGTATAGCACCTGCAAGATCTGCACTCCTCGTCAAGCAGAGCCCCCAAACAGAGGGAGATGCTGGGTGGGGTGTCAAAGAGCAGGATGCATGAATGGTAAGGATGAACTGTCGAGGGTAGTAGGCTGCATCCTGAAGTCTGGCCAACGGGCCTGGACTTTTCTTAAGGAAAAAGGTTTAGAGCCAGGGACAGCTGGGTGTAGGAAGGATTGCTGGAGGAAGGGGGCCAGGGAGGGGCTTAGGCTTGGCCCTGTGATGGTTAGTGGTTGCCTGGAATAGCACTAAGGTTTTCCTGAGTAGGAGCTAGGATCAGGCCTTTGCTGCCCGAGTCGGGAGCAGCCCCAACCCATCTCTCTTTACATCTTCCTGGATTTCTAACGATCATTAGGCATTCAGTGCTCCATCTCCAGTGCCCAGAAATGGAACTTGAGCCCCCATAGCATTCTGAGCACTGTCCTCCCCCACCCTCCCAGCCTACATCTTAATAGGACTATGTGCCTTTTTAAAATCTTTATTTTTTTTCTTTTTGTTAAAACATAATGTATATACAGTAAAGTGCTCAATTTTTAAGTGTGCAGCTTGATGAATTTTGTCCTGTGTATTGATCCTACGGGCTTCCTCATGGTTGACACTCCCCAGAGGTACTTACTAGCCTCGATCATTGGAGATCAGCTTGCTTGTGTTTTGAACTCCATGTATTAGAATTAGCACTTGTGTGTCTGCCTTTGTTTGGCCACTTTCACTGGGCCCGTGAGAGTCAGGAGCGTGCATGAAGCAGGAGCTTGTTCTTTTTCATTGCTGTGACTGTTTCATTGTATGGATGTACCACATTGTGTTTATCTGTTCACCCATTGATGGGCTCTTGGGTTCTTTCCAGTATGGGGCCATTATGAAAAGTATGCGGAAACATTTGTGCCTGTGCCCTTTAGTGGCAGGATGTGTGTTTCTCTTGGGTGGATGCCCAGGAGTGGATGTGCTGGGTCATGGTGTGGGGGGGCAGGTGCAAGGGAACTGTCTCTTCAGTTTTCCTGAATAGTGCTTGTATCAATTTACACTCCCACCAGCAATTCATGACGTGGCTTTTGAATTAAGATTCTAAAAGAATCTGAAACACAAGCAGCAGTTCACACAGAGTAATTCACAATTTCAAAATCCCCAGACTCTCCCCCGAGTCCCTATTGCTGAGTTCTTCCCAGTCCTCACTGTAGCAGGCCTTCTTTAAATATCTTGGGTGCAGATCACACTCGAGTTGGACAGCTCCTTTGATTGGGGTGGGGTCATAGTTTAGATGGGTGTTTTGGAGTGAGCTGTGGGGCGTGAGTAAGGGCTGAGGACAGTTGAGAGTTAAGGTCAGATGAAGAACTTGGATCATCTGGGCATAAGCTGGGATCAGGGTGAGTAAGGGTACTGAGAATGGGTAAGGCTGAACCCCAGATTTGTGTTGGGGTCCAGGGGTAGGAAGGGTAGGAGTCGGTATCAGGATGAGCTTGAATTAGCAATTGTTGGAGATAAGATTTGTGCAGAGGTGGGGCCCATTAGGTTGGAGTGATCCAGATTAGACACAGGAACCCTGGAGACATTAAGATCTGGGCCCAATCAGGGCACTTCTTTGCCTTACCATGCTCTTGCAGAGGTGAGACCACTTTTGGAGCCTCAGTTCCCTCCTTTATGAAATGGGGTGACATCAACATCAACTGTTTATGTAAGCTCACTCCTATTTAGCTTCCTGCTTGGTGGGTGAGCACTCACCTTTCCATGGTTGGTGTCGGTGCAGAGAGTTCCCGCAATTTTTCCATTCATTTGTTCCCCTGGTGCCCAACTTGCTGCTTGCCACCTTTCTCTGGTCCTCCTATTTGTAGGATGGACTTGAGAATGCAGCTGGGAATCAAGCTGAAGTCTGGGCAGAGTCTAGGGTTAGACTGGAGGACTTAGCAGGGACAGGGGCAGAGGGCGTTAAGGTTAGAGAGCAGCAGAGTGAGGCCCTGAAGCTTCTGCTTTGCACACAAGAAGGCCAGTGGGAGTGACGTGTGTCGGGAAAATTGGTGGGCCAAAGGGTGGCTTAATCACACCCTGAGATCTGACAACTCTCTCCTTTGGGGGTGCTGCAGCCCCATCACATCTCCTAGGCCCCATTCAGAGTGGAAAACATGTCTCACCCGAAACCTGGTGGGGCAGAATGGGAGCCTGGGCGGTCCTCCTGGGGAGGAGGCCAAGGTCGCACTTGCTCCTGGAACACCAGCAACCTCTTCCCGGGCAGCTGACACCTTCTTGTGACCACCTTCTACCTCCCACCCTGCCCCAGTGTTTCACGGTGGGTGACATCCCCTGCGCTGCTTTTTAGAGGGGAGAAAGCTTAAGGCAAGATTCCTTCAAGGCCTGAGGGCCCCCTCTTGTCCTGCCAGAGGAGGGCAGAGGCTCAGAACAGAGGATACCTCTCAAAATGTGACACTTCAAAGGTGGCAGTGGGTGGAGGGGATTTGGAAGGGGCTCGAAGGTTGGAAGGGCCCAGGAGCCCTCTAGGCTTCCTCTCCTTCACCCCATTTTCATCCCTTCTCTGTCCCCAGAAATAAGAATGTCTAAGCCCCTGGAGGCCGAGAAGCAAGGTCTGGACTCCCCGTCAGAGCACACAGGTGGGTGGGGAGGGGCAGGGTCACAGTGGGCAGAGAAGTGTGGCAGATGGGAAGACCACAGAAGGGACAGGTGTGGTGGGGGTGGCTGAAGACAACACATCCTTTCCCTCTCTTCACAGACACTGAAAGAAATGGACCAGACACTAACCATCAGGTCAGGAGGGAGTGGATTAGAGGGAGGTGGGCAGAGGGAGGAGGGAGTAGAGGGACCTCTGAGCAGCCACAGAAGGGGCAGGAGCCTGAAGCCGCTTCATCGCACTATTCCCACCCCCTGACCCATCTTTCTCTTTGCAGAACCCCCAAAATAAGGCCTCCTCGTTCTCTGTGTCTCCAACTGGCCCCAGCACCAAGGTAAGCACCTGTTAGAACATCCAGGAAAGGGGACTGTGTTTAGGAGAGGGTCTTTGACAGTCAGCCATAGGCCCCAATATCTGAGAGAACACCCAGTGACAAGGCTTCTCCCGCCCCTTCTCACCCTGGGTTCCCGCCCCAGGCCTGTGACTCACCAGAGCTCCTTCCCCTTCCCTAGGGGGTGGGGGTGGCCAGGGAAATCCCCCCCAGAGCCCCAGGGCAATGAACAACAGGAAGCCAAGGCCCCACCCCCATCCCGACTTCCCTGACCAAAGGGGCCTGCACCACCCCCTGTCCCCCAACACACACACACACACACACACACACACACACACACACACACACACACACAC